ACGGCTATACAAATTCAGTGGTTGCTGCATGGATTTAATCATAGAACTAGATAAGCTCTTTTACATCGAATAAAATATATCGAACATAGCTTTAAGTTATAGTTGAACTTACTCGAAGTTGTATGGTAGCCATATAGGCCCTATTTGGTTGGGCTTTTGGCTTTGGCTTTTGGCTCCAAAAGCCAAAAGCCCAACCAAAGGGGCTGTTTTTGGAGGGTGCTTTTTCAGAAGCAGCTGCTTTTTCGTAGTTCATTTTTGAAAGCTGGTTTGACCCTGCTTTTGGCTTTTGGCTTTTGGCTTTCTGCTTTTCGAAATTGGTGGAATAAAAAGCTCTTCCATAGTTGTTTCAAGAGAGATAAAGATAAAAGGTATATTTTATACTTGTTTAACCAAACAGCTTTCAGCTTTTCTACAGCTCACAGCCCACAGCAGCTTTTCCACAGCTCACAGGCCACAGCAACTTTCTCCCACAGCCACAGCTCAACCAAACAGGGCCATAGTAGAGTGTTGTTGGAGATTTTTGAAAGCCAGAGCAATGTATGCCGCAACCTTAAGGGACTCTTCCCGTAGCTTCGCACTACGGATGCGCTCTTTCTCCCGAAGAGTCTTTGCAGCTGCTAGCTCTTTGGCATCCAGTGTCCAACGTTTAGGGTAATTAAAATTTGTTTGGGCTATAGCTTGAGGGTCTACATACCCGGCTTTCACACTTGGCATTTGTTTGACAATGTGCACTTGCATTCTACAAATCACGGCGTGGGTTAGTTACAACAAAATTCAAAGATTACATTCATATTATATCGGGAGGACAAGGACTTACAGGCACCACGTGCGAATTAGATTCATCTCCATTTCTCCCAGGTGAAAGCATGTGTGCATGTCATTGAAGTCAAAGACAATTTTCCCGGCTGGGCTTCCAAATGTGCCGGTGGGAAAGCATGCTTGTATGATATCTATGCTCGTTGGGAGAACACGCAAGTACCAATCATGGAACCTTCTCATTCCAAGTGGTAGGCGCTGGATGTCCCGGTTTGGTAGGAAGGGCTTGCCTCTTTCATATTTTTTCGGGCAATCCTTTGACCATTCGATGGCATCAACATTTGGATACTGCTTTGCAATTTGGTGAAGTTTGCTACTGACGGCCTCCTTAGAACCCCGTGATGGGACTTTTTTAACTTGGTTTTCAGGCTTGAACTGATCATGGGAATACCACTTGGACACCGACGAGTCGTCTTTGATCGGAACATAAACTGGCCTTATGTGGATTGGAATCTTCTTTCGGAGTTCCCATTCAGGCACGTCCTCATCTTCTTGTGCATCACCTTCTTCAGGAGGCACTCGTTGTTCATGTATCGGTTGTGCTTGTTGAGAAGACTGTGGCATCTCATGATGCACTTGCCCGGTACGAGCTGGAGAAGGTTGTGGCATCTCATCAGGCACATGCTCGATAGGAGGCGAGGAAGAATGTGGCATCTCAGGAATGTGGGGGTCACAAGACGGTGAAAATATCTCCCTGACCTCAACAACTCGCTCCAAATTTGGGAGAGGGGGAGGCGGCGAAGAAGCAGTCAATATAATGTCCCGTTTGTGCCAGAGGATGAACTGCCCCATAACATCTCCGAGTAACACCAGCCCCTCGGGGGTTGCGTAGTCTATCCTCCACTGCATGAACTCGGGCTTCACTGTATGCACCTCGACCCTAGTGTAGTCCGGCGGTATGTTATTATTGTGGTGTAAGCCACCGGGAGGATGTGCAACACCCGTTGCCACCTCCATCACAGTGTTCTGCCGGCCGCTGAGAAACACCAAGGTGCAACTAGTAGGTTCCCGTATGAGATCGACTGAGGTTGTGGCTGCAGTGGAACCTTGGCTGCTAGGAACTTTCGGAGGGCTACCAACTAATGCCAGTTCTCCCGGTGGCGTCACTAATATACGTGGCTCCATAGACATTCCTTGCTCCTCCAGCGCCTTCGCAACTAGAGCCTTCACTTGGAGCTCAAGACTAGTCTCCCGGTCTCGGCCATGTTTCTTGTACATGTGCCTGTCCTCTTCGAATCCTTGCTTCCAAGTCATCCTTTTCCCTAGCCCCCTAGTGCGGCCTGTGTGCTCCTTGTTTCCCAAGCCAAGGCTAAGCTTGTCCCTCTCTCTGGAAGGATTGAATGAGCCCTTCTCTTTGTCTTCAGCATATTTCAGTATCCTTGATACCGCCTCTTGGGTCTCCGGCTTATCAAACTTAAGATTACTGCCGGATGGTTCTGTACTCCTCGCATATATCTAGTTCCTTGAGCGTACCTTCAACTTCGTCACATCGATATTCCCAGCAGCTGCGGCCTCTTCATCCATCTTTTTAAACTGCTCTTCCTTGGCATAGTAGCCACCAGGGCCTAGATGATGGTGGTGTTTGTTCCTCTTCGCTAGCTCGGTGTTACGAGCACTGAGCTCCAATGCCTCCGCTGAAGTCTTCTGAGCCACGAGCTCCTCCCATTAACTAGGAGTTATTTTGCCGAACTCGTTGAAGGGAGTTAACCCCTTTTGGATATACTTCGTGTTAAGCTCCGACCTCCAACGTCGCAATGACTCTCCCATCATCCTGATAGCATTTTTTTTACCAATTCGTGCTTACCCTCCGGAAATCTAAAATTGACCTTCAACTGCCTATCCCATAGTGCATTCTTTATGTTCTCTGGTACCTCTTTCCAGTTTGGGATTCTTTGGGTTCAATTTATCTCTTACTAGGGCCCCGATCGCATTACGGAATCGTCCTCTTAATTCCTTTGGCTCAAGGATCTCCCTATTTGGCCCAACCTCCGTTATCACATAGCAAGCCTTATCTGGATATAGATTTCCTTTTCTATCCCCTCGTTTCCTCTTAGGCTTGGTAGTCGTGGTTGTGTCTTGAGTTTGTGGAGCGAGAGGCATCGTGATCCGTCTCTCGTGGTTGTTGCCTCTGCTCTCCTTTCCTCTACTCCGTCTTTGTCCAATGAGATGTCGCGGACGTCGATGTCGTTTTTTTCGAAGTTTCGGGAGGGACACTGTATATAGGACAGAGTCAAAGTGTTAGCAGAGGTAACACACCAAAGCTTTAGCAAAATTTACAAGCTAAGGCTTCTTCCCTACCTCCTCGTTCGGGTCAAAATCCTTGTCCAAATCTTCCTCCGATGGCCTCCTTCTTGCTTGTGTGGGAAAGGATCCTCGGGACTTTCATATCCCTCTTCCGACTCATCATCCTCTTCTTCTTCGCCTTGCCAGAGCCTCTCCTTGAGGCCTTCCTCCTCGTCACACTCCTCCCGAGTAAGCATCACTTCTAGATCTTTTTCTACCTCGTTATCGAACTGTTCACGAGTAAGTGGTCCTCTAGTGCTTGCTCCTCAAGGGTTGGTTGCTCATCATGCTCGGGGCATCGAGCTACACGGTCTGTTGTCCATGACATTATTTCGCGCTTTGTTCTAAAAAGATGCAAGAAAGTGTGCTTTTTAGTACGCGAGAAGGTATAAGAAATCAAAAGGTCTATAAACCAAAGTAGTCCTATAAAACAACAATATAAAAAAAACGAGAAGTAGCAAAGTGGTAGAGGCCTCGAAACATGTCAATCATCATCTGATCTTGAACTTGGAGCATCAAGGCATCATAACGAGAGAGAGAGGAGAAGGTAATGTAGGGCGGCTGCTAATGATGCCAAGTTCCTCACAAGTTCTTGATCATCAGCTCATATTCCATATAATGTATGGACTTGGACAATTTCATCATCGGCAAAACAAAGGAGAGGAGAGGAGAGGGAGATTTGGCAAAAAAGCAGCAAAGCGCTTAACAAACATAGAGAGGAAAAGGTGTAAAAAAAGCAGCTATTGCTTCCCAAACATAGAGGATAGGAAAGGCGGCAAAAATAGAGGAGAGGGGAGATTTGGCAAAAAAAAGCAGTCTTGCTTCCCAAAAAAAGCAACAAATGCCATCTCGACTTTGCTTTCGATCCCACATGAACATCATATGCTTAATATCTTACGAACCTAATAGGCAGATTGGACAATCGAAATAGTAGACAAAGCAGTAGTAGTAGGGAAGTAGTAGAATTAGTTGACAGAAGTACAAGTAGTTGATAGAAGACAGAAGTAGAAGTAGTAAACAGTAGTATTAGGGAAGTAGTAGAGTAGTAGTAGAAGTAGCAAAAGCTGCTTAGGAGAGGAGAGGAGTAGAGTGGAGTAGAGGAGAGTATAGTAGTAGAGTAGTAGTAGGAGTAGCAAGTAGTAGTAATAGGAGTTGTAGGAGAGACCAATGTGACCGTGACCCGAGTTGATAGAAGATGTAAGTAGAAGTAGTAAAGCATGTGAGTATTAGGGAAGTAGTAGAAGTAGCAAAAGCTGCTTAGGAGAGGAGAGGAGTAGAGTGGAGTAGAGGAGAGTATAGTAGTAGAGTAGTAGGACTAGCAAGTAGTAGTAATAGGAGTTGTAGGAGACCAACCAAAGCAGCCGACAGCCCATTGGTACCGACCAAAATGACCAATGACAAACATGCCCGATACTACCTAATAAGTAGAGTAGTAGTAGGAGCCAATGACCGATGACCCGACAAGCCCGATTCTGACTAGCCGGTGAAGATTCGGGTACCGTGTAGATCACAACATTAGGTAGATCACAGCATCAAGTAGTTCACATTCAGAAAATAGCACTGAAATTGAAATTAAATGAGCACTAAAACTGAACTGAAATGAGCACTAAAACTGAACTGAATTGAGCACTAAAACTGAACTGAAATGAGCACCGAAAATTAACTAAAATGAGCACTGAAACTTAACTGAAATGAGGTGCTATTCTAACTGCAGCGACGGGGATGGTGCGCGCAAGCTGTTTGATGAAATGCCGGTGAGGGATGCGGTCGCATGGAACGTTTCGATCACTGTTATGCGAGGAACCGGCAGACAAAGGACGCCTACAAGCTTTTCGAGGAGATGAAAGGCCGGGGCGGTGGGGCGGAGCAGATGATATCACACGCATTTCGCTCCTCCGGGCATGCACGAATTTGGGGCGCTTGATTTTGGTGAGAGGTGTGGGCGTATCGCGGAGGAGCACGGTTATGGGGGAGTGAAGGTGCGCAATTCGTTGATTGCGATGTACTCGAGGTGCGGGTGTGTGGATAAGGCATACTGTGGTGTTACGTGGGACTCCTCGGAAGAGTGTGGTCACATGGAGCGCAATGATCTCGGGGTTGGCAAAGCAAATGGCTTTGGTAATGATGCTATCTCAAAGCATTTGAGGAGATGATTAGATCAGATGTTGCTCCCGATGAGCAGACTTTTCTTGGTGTTCTTTCCGCATGTAGTCATAGTGGGCTGGTTGACGAGGGTTTTAGTTTTTTGATATGATGCGATTTGAGTACGGGTTGAAGCCAAGCGTTCGCCACTATGGATGCATTGTTGACCTAATGGGCCGTCTTTGGCTTGCTTGATGAGGCTTATGAGCTTGTGACAAATGAGATGAAGGTTGCACCAGATCGACAATTTGGCGAACTCTTCTTGGTGCTTGCGAATCCATGGTCATGTTGATCTTGGGGGGCGTGTAATCGGTAATCTAATTGAATCAAGGCTGACAAAAGTGGGGACTATGTTCTATTCTTTGAACACTTATGCGTGCAGTTGGGGAATGGAGCAAGGTATCCGAAGTCGGGAAGTTGATGCGGGAAAAGGAATACAAACTACTCCAGCGGCTGCATCGATTGTGGAGCATAATGGTGAGGTTCATGAGTTTATTGCGAGATGATGATGCACATCCAAGGAAGGTGGAGATTTATGAAAAGCTCAATGAGATAAATAAGCGATTAAGGATTCTTTGGTTATGTTCCAAATGTGTCATCGAGTTGCATGATTTGGATTACGAAGGAAGGAAAGTGCCCTCACCTATCACGTGTGAAAAGTTGGCAATTGCTTTTGCTTTGCTTGTTACACCTTAGCACAGGCCAATAAGGCTTGCAAAGAATCTTCGTGTTTGTGTTGACTGCCACAATTTCACAAAGGTGTTTTCTGGTATTTACAACCAACTAGTTATTGTCAGGGACATAACACGGTTTCATCATTTCCATGGAGGAAAATGTTCGTGCAATGATTATTGGTAGTCCATCCTTGCTTGTTTGTTGCATTTGCAGCACATCACAAGGAAGTGAAGTTATCGCACATACTTTGGATACCATAGCAACAGTAAATGTTTGAAGTGGCACCCAATCATAAGCACTATATGAGCTCTAATGTGATGACAAGAAGCTTTTCACACAATTGGTTTCTGGCTTGTCATAAGCACTATATTTAGAGGACACGTAGGATTAACAATGTACCGATAGGAACTGAAGACAAGAAGAAGGTTAAGGGACAGAACAAACCTGAGCCGAGGGCCGGGCACGGTTCGTCGGCGTGCGGGGGCGGCGCGAGAGGGCAGGCGGTGGTCGCCGGGTCGGCACACGGGAGGACGCTGGGGGCCGGGGCTTGGACGCCGAGGGTCGCACATGGGGCGGGCGCCGGGGGGTGTGGTGTCTTGAGGGGGCGGCGTGGCTTGGCGTGGGGCGTGGGACGCCGGGTTGGGCGCGGACGCCGGGGTCGAGGTGGGGGGCGGGCGAGGGGACCGTGTGGTCGGCTTGCGGTGGGCGGGCGTCGGGGGCAGGGTGGGGTGGACGCCGGGGGGGGCGGCGGGGGGGCGCCAGGCGGAGCGGACGCCGGGGGTCGGCAGAGGGGGACGGCGCTGGGGGGGGCTGGCCAGGACGCCGGGGTCGGCTGGCTGGGGGAGGCGCTGGGGCGGGGGGGACTCCGGGTTGGCACGCTGGGAGGGCGCTGGGGCCGGGCGGCGCGGACGGGTTTGCTGGCACGGGCGGGCGCCGGGACCAAGTGTGGTGTCGGCGGGCACGGGGACAGGCGGGAAACCCTAGGTAACTGGCAGCGTCGGAGGAAGAAACAGGCGCCGCCAGACGATGACTCCCGTGCGCTTCCCTCCTATTTATACTAGGTACCATATGTAGGGGCGGTTCTCGATCCAGTAGCCCCTACAAATCATTTTAAAGGCGGTTCTGATCCGGCCCGCCCTACAAATGATTTTTAGGGCGGTTCTGATCCAACCGCCCCTACAAATATTTTTTTTTAAAATTATAAATTCTATATTTTTTATATCATAAAAACACAAAGTAATATAAAAAATTTGTGTATATACACAAATATAATATTTTTTATTATTCTATATATGAAGAAATATATATATAAACAATTGTAGTCAAAACAATATAGAAAACAAAAAAACAAAATTTAAAAATTTGAATTTTAAAACTTCGAATACAATTTTATGACGTTAAATGAAATAAAATGAAAATGTTGTAAACATAAAAGTTGTATAACTCATCAACATGTATAACTTTTATTTTGGTCATCTTGTCATGTGACTTTGTTTGAATGATTCAAATTTTGAAATTCAAATAATTTTAACTTGAAACAATATTTTGAAAGAGTAATTGATTTCACATGAAAAACTCATGAATACCAAAGTTGTAGAACTCATCAATATGTACAACTTTTATTTTGATCATATTTTCATTTGACAAAATTTGGACAGTTCAAATTTTGAATTTCACTAAATGGCAACTTCAAACAAGATTTCGAAACCTTAAATGATTTCAACAATAAAAGTCGTGAACAAAAAAGTTGTTGAAATCCTCACTATCTACAACTTTTATTTTGATCACTTTTTCATCTGAGGTCATGTAGTGTCTCATTTGAGCAAGTTTGATCAAGTCAAATTTGGTCAAATGAAAAAACAACACTTTGACTCTAGTATTATGAACTCTAAATGACTTCAAATTGAAAAGTTTTGAATACCAAGTTTGTTAAAAGAATCAATATCTACAATTGTTGTTTTGGTTAACTTTCCATTTGAGAAAGTTTGGACGGTTCCGATTTGTGATTTTTAAATTTCAACGCCTACAAACTAGTTTTCGGAACCTTAGGTTATCTCAAATTGAAAAGTTTTGAATACCAAGTTTGTTCAGCTCATCAAGATCTACAATACTTATATATTCCATTTTTTCTTTTGAGAAAGTTTGAACAAAATGTAGTTCAAATTTCACAAGTGTGACATAGTTTCAGAAAGTCTATATGAGATTCAAGAATTTGTGACTAGTGTTTGATAAAACTTTTTCAAATGGGAAAATGAGCTATGTAACAATTGTAGATCTTGCTAAGATGATCAAACTTGGTATTCAGAGTTTTTTCATCTGAGGTCATGTAGTGTCTCATTTGAGCAAGTTTGACCAAGTCAAATTTGGTCAAATGAAAAAACTACACTTTGACTCTAGTATGATGAACTCTAAATGACTTCAAATTGAAAAGTTTTGAATACCAAGTTTGTTAAAAGAATCAATTTCTACAATTGTTGTTTTGGTCAACTTTCCATTTGAGAAAGTTTGGACGGTTCAGATTTGTGATTTTTAAATTTCAACGCCTACAAACTAGTTTTCGGAACCCTAGGGTAGTCTCACACACATGCATAAAATATATAGTCTCACACGCATGCATAAATGAAGCCTTACAAACACACACTTACACAAACACTCCAAGTTCAACAACTAGCTAGCCCGCTGTAACGACTTTCCCCTTGACACCTTTTCGTTCCCATGGCATTATATCTTTGGGGAGGTTCTTTTCCACAACACTGATCTTAGGAAAGTCTATGAATAGCGGCATCTCATCATAGTTATTGTAAGCTTCAACATCGTCCACGCCATCAACTCCAATAATGTGTTGTTTCCCGGAGGCAACCACGTGCTTTGTCTTCTTCTTCGGGGGGAGGTTACTTTGTGGGTCAGACATATAGAAAACTTGTGCGACACGTGAAGCGAGCACCCAAGGGTCATCCTGGTAGCCTAGATTCTCGAGGTCCAGGACTCTCAATCCGATCTCGTTCGGTTGGTGTTGTTTGATCCGGTGAGCATCGTAAACAGGGCCACCGTTATATCCCTTCCATAGTCAAGTTCCCATATCTCTTCAATGATGCCAAAGTATTGGATCTTTCGCCCTAATCCATCGAGAGCCTCTATTCGAACGCCGCTGTTTTGGTTCACATATTTACTATCCTTTGCGTGGGTATAGTACATGTACCCATTGATGTCATAAGTATTCCAAGATGTAACTTGTCTCGATGGCCCCTCCGCCAACCTACTGATGGTAATAGAGTCTATGGTTTCTCTAGGCGGTATGTTTTGGTCCTTCAACCATATAGTTAGTCGTTGCTTGTGCTGTTTCATGACCCAATCATCCGAACGGCCATTTCTCTCCGCCATAATGATAGCCAAGTGTTCATCAATATACGGTTGCATCGGTTGTGTACTCTGCGCAAGACAACGTAATGCGCCCGACTCACCTCTTTGTAATCATGGTCGATGAACACTTTTCTACCATGGTGCCCTTCCCACTGACCCTACCCTTGTGACAAGAATCGGGTTTACCAATCCCGCTACGTACTTTTTAGGTACTCTTGACAAAGACTCGGCGACTTCTTCAAGATCTTTGTAACCCTCTATCATGGAGCCCTCTGGGTATGCTCGATTATGCACGTATCGACTTAAAACCGACATGAACCGCTCATAGGACCACATTTCATGCAAGTAGCAAGGGCCAAGCGCCTGTATCTGATGAACCATGTGAATCATGAGATGTGGCATTATATCAAAAAAAGCAGGAGGTAAACACATCTCCAGTTGGTTTTGTGTCTCCACCACAAATTCATGTAGGTCACTCGGCTCTTCCTTGCCAATCGTCTTCGTGAGATCTTGAAAAGAAGTAGCACATGCGGGTGATGGCCATTTTCAAGAACTCGGCTTTATAATACGATTGCAATAGGTAGAAACACTTCATCAAGATCACATGGCAATCGTGAGCCTTTGCGGTGTATTCTTGACAAGTCCTTCATCGACACTAGCTTCTTCACATTTGCTTTGAAAACCGGTCGGGACTTTGATCCCCCTCGGGAAAGTGCATATAGCTCTCTTCTCAAATCGGTGTTAGGTTGAAGCACTTGCAAGGCGAGTGTATTTTCCATTAGCCTTAGGTACCGGGTGAAGCTGTGGCATCATGTTTAAATTGCACCATGTCTTTCCGTGCTTTCGGACCATCCTTTGACTTGCTTGTGTCCATCAAGGTAGCAATGAGACTCTCAAAGACATTCTTACATGCACGTGCATAGCATCAATGGCATGGGGACCTCCAAGTCCGCCAATAAGGCGAGCATTGAAAGAAGATCAATTGTTTCTTGAAAGGTACGCCTTCGATAGGAGGTGTGCTTCTATCTCTGTTCGTCCCATCTGGATTCTTCTTTCCATAGACGACGCGTATATTTTTCACCATTCTATACACATGTTCTCCGTTATGACGTCTCTCCGGAGGGGGTTCAATCTCCAGGGCGTTGTCATAAAATCTAAAGAACAATTTGCTGCGGTACTTGTGACTTGTCTTTAAGAAGCGTCGGTTCCTTAGGTAAACTATCTTCTTGGATGCATCCAGGTACACCCATGTAGTACCATCCAAGCAAACCAAGCATCCTGTCTTCCCTTTGATCTGTCCAGACAAAGCAAACAACGCGGGGTAATCATTGGTAGTAACAAATATTATTGCTCTACATATGAAGTCCTCCTTTCGGAACGCATCGTACATCTGCTCCCCATGCCTCCATAGTCTCTCCATTTCTTGCATCAAGGGCTCGAGGAACACGTCTATATCAATGCCTGGTTGTTTAGGGCCAGAAATAAGAATAGTGAGGAGAAGGTACTTTCTCTTCTGACACAACCATGTTGGGATGTTGTACATGGTCAAGATCACTGGCCATGTGCTGTGGTTGCTCATCCTCTCATTGAAGGGATTCATTCCATCGGTGCTCAGGCCAAACCGTACATTCCTTGGGTCATCATTTGAATTCTATGTGCTTCTCATCAAACCTTTGCCACTGACTACAATCAGCCGGGTGTGCAATCTTATCATCATCCACCTTGCGCTCATCATCCCACCATGTCATGAGTGCGGCTTCTTTAGGGTTTAGGAACATACGTCTCAAGCGGTCGGTCACTGGCAGGTACCACATTACCAGGGCAGGAATTCTTCTCTCGCTTTGCATTGTTGCCTAATGGAGTGTCCTCTGGGGCTGAGATTCTTGTACCACCTTTTTGTACCCTTCTTATTCCTCTTTTCCCCGTGGATGGTTCGTCGTCACCCACCGTAAAGGTCATTGTTCTTGTACGGCCGGCACCACACCGGGACATTTATCCAATGACTTGAACGTTTCACCACGAAAAAAAGTATCGATGGTTGGGGCATGCATGTATTTTTTCAACCCCATTGTCAATGGACTTATGATCTTCTTCGCTTGGTATGTGTTGGCGGGAACTGAGTTTGGTTGTGGCAGCACCCATGACAGGAGATGCAATAGATCATTGAAACTACAGTCTGACCAGCCGTACTTAGCCTTCAGGATGGGCAGCTCAAGCACGAAACGTAGCAATGTCCAATGTGTCGGACAACCCTTTTCAACACCATACACAGTCTCCTTCAATGCTTTTGTCACTCTTTCCAAATTTTCTAGACCTTTCGGGCTATTTAGTAAAATCTCTGGTCCAAGGGTTCGAATCATGTCATCTAAATCATCTTCAACTCCGACACATGCTCCACTATCATTATTGGCACCACCTTCGTCGTTACCATCCCAACCACCAGCATCACCACCTTGTTCATTGCCAAACTCGAAATCCATTTGTGCATCAAGCTCGGTTGAATATTGGGACAGGGATTCTATGGTTTCATCGTCGTATTCTTCCTCATCCTCGTCGTTAACAATAACCGTTTTACCATGATGAATCCACACTGTGTAGTCCTCAACAAATCCTTGTATAATCAAATGTGATCTGATGATAGTCACATCTGTCCATGCCATACGATTTTTGCAATCTTTACAGGGGCAAATAATTGTATCCTTATTCTCTTTCAATGTCGTTGCATGCTTCGTTGCGGCTTCAATAAATTTATCCACCTCTTCACGGAAACCTGCCTTGAACCTTAACGAACCATACATCCAAGAGTTCCTGTACTCCATCTTTTACAACAACAACAAAATAAACATTAAAGGACTACTTATTCAGATATATATAAAAATTAATCAAAGTAATAATTATTTGAGAATAATTGTATATACCTCAGATATATATGAATATAAATCTAATATAATTACATGAAGCATACAAACACACCATGGTAGAGGAAAATTAATTAATGGCCCATTTATCCATAAATAATTAAAATACATATTTATTGATTACAATAAACAATTTCAAAGACAACAATTAACAATAATTATACTTTACACAATATCTTTCAGTACAAACCCTAGTCCAATTTTATCAAACATAAATTTACAAAACGAAATTAATAAAAAACCAAACCCTAGATCTAGATCACATGCACATGAAACATCCATAAAACTAACTAATGGTTCACTAAAATCAAGAAACATGGACCAAATAAGGGTATGATCTTGTTCCCCTCCCTAATTTATCCTAGTACATTTAAAAGTTGGGTCTAATTTGCTCATAAATAGCTCAAGCACCATAGAAGAGAGAGAAAAACAAAACTCTAATTATTCACTAATCAACCATTAAAACTTCAAAAAAAAGTGTGGAATAGCATTTTCTTACCTTCTACAACCTCTCCACCAAAGGATTTGAGACCAAAACCTTCCCCCCTTAGTAGAGCAATTTTTGGGAGGTGCCCAAGCCCTCCACAACTTTCTTTCACGGGTTGGAGTGAATGACCCGAGGAGGAAGAAGGTGCTGCTTCAGTTTTATATGGGGGTCATTTGTAGGGGCGGCTGGTGATTGAGCCGCCCCTACAAGTAGAAGCTATAAATACGGGCCATTTTTAGGGGCGGCTCAATCACCAGCCGCCTCTACAAATACCATTTCTAGAGGCGGCTGGTTATTGAGCCGCCCCTAAAAATCATACTCTATTTGTAGGGGCGGCTCGTATCACCAGCCGCCCCTGCTGTTCCATTTGTAGGGGTGGCTGGTGTCTGGGCACCTGAGCACGCCACTGTAGGGGCGGCTCCATCACCAGCCGCCCCTACAAAAAAATTGAACCGTTGCTACAAATCGTTTTCTACGTAGTGAGAGGAACAGGAGAACCTTGCTAAAAGCGATGCCCTAGGTTAGATTAGATGGGTTCTCAGAAAACAAACGTCAAACACCAGAATTATGTAGATTTTATTTAAAATAATGGATTTATCTTTTTTTTCCTTTTTTATCTCTAATAATGGCATAGGTGGGTAATTTTCTTAAAAGTAAAATAGATCTAATGGTTATAGATCGTGAGAGCCTATAGATTTAATGGTTAGATGTTTGTGATTAATGTGAGAATTTATAGCATTTATCCTTTTTTCTAGAGCGTCTGGTGAGAGTTAACGTAGAGGCTCCATTGGGGCCTCCAATTAGTAATACAAATGGATTTATTTTTTTCCTTTTTTATCTATAATAATGGCAGAGGTGGGTAATTTTCTTAAAAATAAAATAGATCTAATGATTACAGATTGTGAGAGCCTATAAATTTAATGGCTAGATGTTTCTGATTAATATGAGAATTTATAGCATTTATCTTTTTTCCTAGCGCGTCTAGTGAGAATTAACGTCCCAATTAGTAATAGTAAGATATAGAAGTAAGTTTAAGGTTTTTTTTCATAGTGACCGGGTGGTAATTTAGGTACAAATTGGGGATTTTTTTTTTGATAATGACACATATGGGTATTTATATATGCATTTAGGGTGGTATTTTTCATCTTGCTTGACTAATTTTCAGTCACTGGGTACAACACCACATGGTTAAAAAGTGGGCAGCTAATGTTTAGTTGGATATATAGCCTGGGGCTAAACTTTAGTTGGATCCACACAGGCCTAAGATTCTTTCATGCCAGGGCAACGCAAGCTACACGCCTTTTATTTTGGGCCAGGATCATTACGCGACGATCAAATGGCGAATGAGTTGTGCAGCAGCACTTGCAGTTTGGAAGGAAATAGATGATGCGCCTTCTCCCTGCGTCGTTCCAGATTGCTAGGCCAATGATTGAAAACAAAAGGCGGCACCGTATTGGCAAATGGCAAAAGGCTACCGGATTGTTTATCTATTTACTCGCTGGTTGTTGGCCTAATCCGTGGTGTAAGGCCTATCAATCTCAATGCCACAGCTGAAGACAAAGAGCACTACTGGTTCTGCTTGTTGTTTGCTGGTGACAATCAATCAAGCAAGCTGTCACGCACAAAACTCGATCGAGAAGCCAACGAAGCATACTTGTGCTCGAGACTTTGTCTGCTTTCCATGTCTACCCTGTCAGTTCTATGCATATCATTTCTCTTCAGCCTTTTGTCGGGATCGGAGAAATCTGAAATGCGCAGTGCAGGCCAAAAGTAAGGACAAAGGGGCCGACAAGGCCTGGGGTGGCCCACGCGTCGTCGATTGGTGGTGCCCCAAGACGAATCGCCTCTGCCTGCGCGACCTCGGCTTGGTTTGAACACGCCGCCGCACCTCCTTCTCCTCCTCCTTCTTCTTCTCCTCCTCCTCCGTCACAGAAATTCTCCTCTCTCTCGGCAGCCACCACAGGCGAGGTGACGGAGGCACGGAGCTTCGGGCGTATCCGATCCGCATGGCGGACAAGGAGGCAAGAGGAGAGCACCCAGCACCCAATGATACGAATCCAGACGCTTGCTCGTTTTGTGTCCTGTCCTTGCTGTTAATCTTGCAGTTTTAATTTGCTTGCGTGATGGGTCTTGTTGATTTCTCTCTGCTCGGAAGAAAAGAAATGTTCGGTCCTGTTACTACCACCGCTGTAAGGTAAGGAACACGTGCAGCCCTAGGGATTTCTTCTTCTTCTTTTGTTATCACTTCCTTTCTCTTGTTGGGAGCAGCAGAGTCGGCTTTTACCACGGCCAATAATTCGAAACAGAGTTGAGAGGCCAACAAAACTGGTCTTCGTCTCCTGAATCCTGATTTGAGAAGACATGCCCCTTTAGAACATGTGTTAGACCGTCCGTCTCCAATGGTTGGAACTACCTGCTAGATTTAAGGTCTATGTGTTGTATCGACCTTAACAAGAACTATCGTAAAACATCACTTCCGCCATGGCCTAACTTACTTCCAATTGCACTGCGTTTACAACCATCTATTTAATCCTTGTATCGCATCGCAGATCACCATGGTCGTCAAGGTTGACCTTGAATGCGAGAGATGCAACAAGAAGATCAGAAGGGTCCTCCACAAGATCAAAGGTACAGTATAGTAGTATAACCCTCGCCACCAAATATTCAGTCATTCACCAATGCAAACGCCTCTATCTGCGGTCTGATAATGCCAATCTGCCATCACATGGCTGCATGAGCTCTAATCCCCCACTTGTTGGGATTAATTACCTGTCAGTCGCTTTACAACTGTTTAGCAGTTCCATCTGCGCTGATGATCATTGTTGATTGTGATTGACTGGGTTGCGCAGACAAGATGAACATCAATACTATCTCGTTAGATGAAAAGAGGAATCTCGTGACCATCTCTGGCCGGTTCGACGCCGAGAAGGTCCGTCGGAAGCTCTGCTGCGAGGCTGGCCGGATCATCAAGGGTATGGACGTCAAAGCGCCCGTGGAGAAGAAGGACGGATGCATGGAAAAGGAGGAGGACGGAAGAAAGACGGCTGCGGCGCCCACAGTCAACCTCCGCCCGCTGCTGGAGAAGATGTTGGAGTGCCCCAAGGTCAGGACCCAGCCGGCCCCCTGAACCTGCTGCTGAGGCTGCAGCTGCGGCAAGCAGACCACGCAGCCGCCAGCAGCGCAGGTCGTCGTGGCCGTGCCATCCGTCTGGCCCGCGACGGCCAGCTCCATCTCCGGCCATGGGTACGAGGCGCCGTCGTCGTACTATGGCGTGCCGGTGTACATCATCGAGGGGTGGTAATTGTTGGCCCACCGGATCTCCGGTTCACGTAATTGAACTACTCACCAGTCTTGCTGATCACCCGCTAGTGTTGCCGAGCACCCATTAGCCGAGCCGACCACGAATAGGCATTGTCCGTCCTCACACATTATGGCTAGAGCTTTAAGAAGAAGGGAGAACAGAGCATGCACGTACAATACAAGACACCAGCGTTGGCCGAAGCCCTGTCTGTGAGATTGTAAATCTGAACTTTCTTTACTGAGTTGCCGTGGTAGTTTATTTATACAACTCTATCCATCTAGTCCTAGTACAGCTGCCCTGCTGCAACAATGACTAGATAACATATAGAGCTGACTCTGCGCCGTCCACTGCATGTGCCTACAGTGCTGCAGATGAGCAGTTCGGCGCCTGCACCTGCAACGACTACTGTATCACAGCAGGGGGCCTTTTCGGCGCCGTCTTCCCCTTGCTGTGTTCATACAAGGTAGAACTAGATTATCTAACAATCTTTCCCTAATCCTATTGCTAACCCTTGTACCCCTTTCATGCCGATCATCTCCTTCAGCTCCATAAGTCGAAGACGTCCGAGTGGCTTGGTGAGGACGTCCGCGAGTTGCCGACCAGTTTCAACGAACTCGATGACGATCTGCGTTCCATCGACACAGTCCCTGAGGAAGTGGAACTTCACCTCGATGTGGAACTTCACCTCGATCTGCCTTCCATCTTTGCGAGGGTGATGGCGGGCCGGTTGTCCACCATCAGTGCTGGTAGGTGAGCTTCCACGCCGGTCAGCTCGCCCAGCAGCCGGCGTAGCCACACAACTTGGCACGCCGCTATGGCCGCCGCTACGTACTCTGCCTCGTACGTTGATAGCGCCACCACCTTCTGTTTCAGCGACAGCCATGAAATTGGGGCCGACCCGAGGAATACGAGCACCCCAGAGGTGCTCCGTCGTCCGTCGATGTCCCCTACCATATTTACATCGCTGAACACAGTGAGCTACAGCCTACTGTCGCCGGTCTTTGGGAAGATGATCCCATGATCTACCGTCCCCTTGACGTAGCCCAATTGCCGCTTCACCGCAGCCTAGTGATCCTCTCTGTGATCTTCCATGAAGCGACTGATGTAGCCCACGGCGAAGACAATGTTCGGCCTCGTGTGGACTAGGTAGCGCAGACCGCCGATGATGCTCCGGTAGAGTGTTGCATCCACCTTCGTCGTGGTACCGGCCTTCATCAGTTTCAGCCGCTCCTCCATTGGAGTCACTCATGGCTTGCACTTAGCCATGCCGCTCCTCTCCAATAGCTTGGAGGCATACGCGCTCTAACCGAGCATGAGTTTCTCCTTCCCCTGTCTCACCTCGATGCCGATGTAGTAGGAGAGTGCGCCGAGATCGCTCATTCAAAAACGAGCTGTCATCTCGCGCTTGAAGCTGTTGATGTCCTCCGTGCGCGCGTCGGTGATGATTAAGTTATCCACATACACGCCGACGACGAGCTCCTCCTTCCCCATCGCCGCGTGTAGAGCGCGTGCTCGGTTGCGCACCGTTGAAACCCAAGCTCGCCTAGCGTGGCATCAAGCTTGGCGTTCCATGCTCGAGGGGTCTGCCACAGCCCGTAGAGCGTCTTGCGCAGTCGGAGCACCCTGTGCTCCTCTCCCTTGATGGCGAAACCTGGAGGTTGCCTGACGAAGACCGTCTAGGCCAACTCACCGTTGAGGAAGGCTGATTTATCGTCCAAGTGATGGACGCGCCAGTCCTTTGCTACTACCAAAGCAAGTAGCAAACGGACCAACTCCATGGGTGCTACTGGCTCATAGACCTCCTCAAAGTCTATGCCCTCGCGTGGAACAAAGGCTTGGGCGACGAGGCGCGCCTTGTGCTTGACAATGGCACCGAACTCATCCCATTTGACTTTGTATATCCACTTTAGGCTGATCGGACGACATCCTGAAGGTGGATCGACGAGCTGCCAAGTCTCATTTTCCTCGATTGCCTTCATCTCCTCCAGCATCGCCCGTCGCTAGTTTCCATCGCGCTCGGCAAGCACAAACGTGGGTGGTTCCTCAGCACTGATGAGTAGTAGCTCTGTGTCATTGAGCAGTCTACCCGTCAAGCCTGAGGGACCTGTGCCGCCGACGATGTCGTCCAGCCTGCGGAACCACACCTCCTCACCTTCGTGGAAGGCATCCACGAACTCAGTGATGTCACTTGGAGGTGAGGCGAACTCGATCGGCGTCAATGGAATTCCCTGTTCCGCCGGAGTGCTCGGTACATTACCTGAAGTGCTCGTCACCGCAGGTTCAGTGCTTGGCACTACTTCTAGACTTCTCGTCATAACTCCTGCAGTGTTCGGCCACACTGTAGGAGTGCCCTGCCTCAGTCTTGGAGTGGTCGACACCACTTTAAGACGTCTTGGCTCCGCCACGGGAGTGCTCGGCACCCGTCCTAGAGTGGTCGCCACCACTACAGAACCTCCCAGCACCACTCCTGGCGTGCACAGCATCTCTCCAGAAGTGCTCGGCACTCCTCCCAGAGTGCTCGGCATCCCTCTCGATGTGCTCGGCACTGCCCCAGGAGTGCTTGGCTCTACGGCCAGAGTGCTCAGGACTCCTCCCGGAGTGCTCGGCACCTCTTTCCCAGCATCTTCACCACCGTGGATGACCAAGTGCTCGACGATGAATGTATTGGTGAAGCTGCCAGCTTCCCCCTTGCTCGGACTGCTCCAGTCCCAAGCCACCTCCTCGTTGAATACGACGTCGCACGAGACAAGCACCTTGTCTCCGTGTGGGTCGTAGAGCCGGGACGCCTTGGTACCCTCTGCATAGCCCAGGAACACCATGGGTATGCTCCTGTCCTGCAGCTTGGTGAGGTTCGGCTTCGTCTTCTTGACGTGGCCAATGCTACCGAATGTCCAGAGGAAGGACACGCTTGGCTTGCGCCCATACCAAGCTTCGAACGGTGTCTTGCCCGTCAGGGCCTTGGTCGGAGCGCGGTTGAGGATGAACACCGCCGTGGTCACCGCCTCACCCCAGAACCTTGCCAGCATGCCTTTGGCCTTCATCATGGATCGGGCCATGCCGACCACCGTCTGGTTCTGTCGCTCCACCACGTCATTCTATTGTGGCGAGTACGGCATGGTGTGGTGTTGCCCCACACCCTGATCTGCGCAGTACGCAGCGAACTCCGCCGAAGTGAATTTGCCGCCGCGATCAGTCCTCAGCACACGGAGCTTCTTGCCGCTCTCGGCCTCCACGCGCGTCTTGAACTTCTTGATCGCCGCCGCCGCTTCATCCTTGTTTGTTAGGAGTTGCAGCCACATGTAGCGACTGCAATCATCCATGAGCAGGAGGAAGTACCACCGACCACCATTTGTAGTAGGCGTGATCGGCCCGCAGAGGTCGCCGTGGACGAGCTCGAGAGCGTCCTTCGCGCGATACTTGACCGCCTTTGGGAAAGGTAGCCTCCTCTGCTTCCTGGCCAGGCAGCTGTCACACTGCTCGCCTCCATGCTTGATGTGGGTTAGACCTCGGACCATCTTCTCTAGCCGACCAAGCGCGTCGAAGCTGAGATGTCCGAACCGGGCATGCCACGTCCATGGTTCCTCGTCGAAGCTGAGATGTCCGAACCGGGCATGCCACATCCATGGTTCCTTGGAGTGCATTGCCGCTAGGCACACTGGCTGCTCTACCATCAGGTCGAGCAGGTACAACCGGTTCAGGGATGTCTTCACCTTGGCAAGAAGTCGCTGCTCCCGGTCCCTGATTCTAAGGACTCCGTCCTTGATTAGTACCTTGCTACCGCGCTCATCCAGCTGACCAATGCTGATGATGCTGGAACGTAGCTGCGGGATGTAGTATACATCCGTTAGCATGCGGTGCTCCCCATTCTGGCACCTGAAGATGATGGTGCCGCGCCCTTGGATTGCCACCCTTGAGCCATCACCAAACTTCACCGTACTAGTAACATCGTCGTCGAGCTCAGAGAAGGATTCCTTGGCGCCCGTCATGTGGTTACTGGCACTAGAGTCCAGATACCACCGCTGCACCTGGTCGGCGCCCACACGTCCAAGGTGGACTTGGGCGCGTGGTTCGTTGAGGTTGACGGTCTTCAGGGCCTTCACAGGTCCTTCCACCGTCGTCGCCTCTTCCCTCTCCTCGGCCTCAACGTCATGCAGTGTGTAGAACGTCGCCAACAGGATAGTGGCCTCACCCTCATCATCGGCTTGCGCCAAGTGAGCCTGAGCCTTCTTCTCCTGCTTGCGGTTTGGGCACTCCCGTGTCCAATGGCCCATCTTCCCGCAACGCCGATAGGCGTTGGGTCGACCTGCTTCTTCTCCGAAAAAAGCCTTGCCGCGGCGCTTGCCATCGCCACCGCGGTTGGAGGAGGCTGCCTTCCCGGAGTTCCTCCGAGCAGCCCAGTCCTCTTCCGTCAGCAGGAGATTCCCACTGCCCTTCGTTGCTGTCGCCTGCTCCTGGCGCTCGTCCACCGCCCGTAGACGGCCTGTCACATCCTCAATGGTGAGGGTGGACAAGTCCAGCATCATCTCTATGGAGAGAGCGATCTGGATGTACTTTGCCGGCACGGAGTGGAGGTACTTGAAGACCACCTCCTCTTCGTCGATGGTGACGTCGTGGCTCTTTAGCTTACTGATGAGCGTCTACAGGCGGAGGGAGAAGTCCTCCACCATTTCACCATCCTTGAACTTGAGGTTGGCATACTCCTGCTTCAGAAGCTGGGTCGTCGCCTTCTTTGCGCTGTCAGAACCGACGTGCATCGCCGCAATAGCCTCCCATGCCTCCTTAGCCGAGCTCTTCGCCCCTAATGGCTCCCTGTACTCTGCCGGTAC